GTTAATCAATTACATTCTATACCTAAAGGCGGTTGGGTTGATGACTTCTTCCCTTAGAGTTCATCTGGCGGCTATCTTGGCCGTCCGCCTACCAATCGACAATCATTTGGTGTTTGCACAGTTAATCAATTACATTCTATACCTAAAGGCGGTTGGGTTGATGACTTCTTCCCTTAGAGTTCATCTGGCGGCTATCTTGGCCGTCCGCCTACCAATCGACAATCATTTGGTGTTTGCACATCCACTCACCAAAAGATTTTTAAGAGGGCTCGAGAATCTATATTTGGCTCACAGAATCCCACCAGAGCCGTGGGACTTGGCTTTAGTCTTGGACACTCTGACTCGTCCTCCTTTTGAGCCACTTGCGACGTGTAACCTATGGATGCTCACAATGAAGGTGGTGTTTTTACTTGCCATGACTTCAGCGCGAGTGAGCGAGTTAGCGACTCTCTCCGCCCACCCACCATACACAATATTCTCTGGCTATGGGTTCGTGCTTCATGTTCACCCCTTCTTTTTACCAAAGGTGAATTCCATCTTTCACATAAACGAACACATAATCCTACCGACATTTTATCCGAAACCACAAACCTCATTCGAAGACTCACGATTGCATACGCTAGACGTCAGACGAGCGCTGGCCTTCTACCTGGATAGAACACGGGCTTTCAGGAAGTCTCAGAGCCTCTTCTTGTCTACAACAGAGCAGAGCGTTCGAAGGGCCAACAACTGTCCACTCAATGGATTTCCAATTTGATCGTCTCCTGCATCACACACTGTTATGCCCTGCGTAACAAATCTCATGCCCACTCTACCAGAGGCATGGCTGCATCCACTGCTTACCTTAAGGGTGTCCCCTTGCAGGACATATGCCATGCAGCGACTTGGTCTTCTGTGCTTACCTTCACCAGACACTATGCTCTCACAAAAATATTCAAGAGCGATGCAGCGGTGGCCCAAGCTGTCCTGTCCACAGTACAGAGGCTGTAAGTCCAAAGCACATGTCTAGCATTGGACCACTGCTGCGTACTCACCTCCAGTGGAGCACCCTCGGGGACACTACTCGACGAAGAAGAGAGAGTTACTCACCTTGTGCTGTAACATCTGTTCTTCGAGATGTGTGTCCCCATGGGTGCTCCATGTCCCGCTCTCCTCCCTGCTTCGGAGCTTCTGTTTTATCTTTTTCAGACGCTTCCAGTTCGGAGGAAACTGACAAGACCGGATCGCGCTCAGCTGAGAGGCGTGAGGCAGCAGTCGCGCATGTGCGGTCCGGTGGGGCTACTGCTAGCAAAAATCCTCCAGTTTGTGGCACTGGGACGAGCCCAGCACCTCGAGTGGAGCACCCACTCGAAAAACACACATCTCAAAGAACAGATGTTATTGCACAAGGTGAGTAACTCTCTCTTATCAATTAAGAATAGCACTGGACAAGATAAAAATCAAGGTCTCTGTCTTAAGAAGTTTATTTTTTTACTCTTGACTAGTTCTCTGTATGCTGTCGATTCTACATACAGTTACAATCCTTCTTAAAGCAAGAATGATCAATATAATTCAAGGAAAACTAGAATAGATCATGATCAATAAATGGGACAAACTCAAGGGTTAAAATATTGGTAGTAAATTTATTTCCCAAAAGAATTCTCGGTGTAATTTATATCATTGGAATATTCAGAGAAAAAATAGAAATTAAACACACATATCAAGAGGGGAAAATATGATTTTCTCTTACTACTGTTGGCTCTCAGACACAGCATAGCATCAATCAGCTAAACAGAAGGTTCTGAACAGAAATATAGTCACATCTATTCTTGCTATGCAGCAATTCTGCTAATAAATTTGGTGGTGCTTTGTTTTTTACCATTTCAATTTCAAATAAAAGCTGACACTGTCAGCTGTGCTGTTCCCCCTTCCCCTAATGTACCATCAAACAAGGAAAGAGGTGGGGTGGGAAAGCAGGATTTCTACAACAGGATGACAGCCTCCACTGTTAGTGAGATCTTTGACTAGACCCCACAAAAAGTAAACAAGATCATGCTGCTATAGTTACTTTTGGGGATCAGAGATTGCAACCACTGGGTCATGAAGATGAGGAGGGCAGGCAGCATCAATATCTGCCTGATGGGTGACCCTTGCACAGCCAAGTTCCAGATGCTCTTATACATAGTCTGGAAATATAATGTAGTAAAATCATCCCATTGAGAGCACTAGAACATGGGTCTTGTGAAAAAATCCAGAGTTTAGAAGCACCTCTCTCTATAGCATTAATAGCATACAAAATAATGGGCTTGTCAGCCTTCTCATGGGAATTATGAAGAAACTTAAATTGAACAGTGTGAGGCAACTGCTTCATTATACCACGTAACAATGAAATTCTTCTAACAATGTTTTGTCTGCTGGAATGCATTTCCTGCAAGGTAAGTGGTTAACTCGAGGAGGAGACAATAACTTATTCATTGTGACACTGGAAATGTGCATGGAGTCAATGATTTTGTATTGGACAGGCAAAATAGCATGAAGACTCTTCTTTCTAGTAATATTGTTATTTGATTCCCCTGCATACATATAAAACACAAGGTAGAATTCATCTGAGGTCCAGTATAAAACCTAGGACAATGGAGTTCTGGCCCAGGAGGAGTGTACCTAGGATCTACATAATACAAATAAATGACAATATTATTGTACAGTAGATGACACTACAGTATTTTAAGGCAAAAAATAACTTCTTCCATTCTGTTGTTCCAAAATAATCACATTCTTTATTTCAATGAACCTAATCAGGAGCAACAGTTCTATTTTTCTTCATAATGGCCTGATTAATATCTCAGGAATATTAGTATTCTATATCATTCCTTATTTCAGTCCTTATTGTTTGAAAAGTCTTCTTGAAGATGTAATTTATTTTTAAAAACAGAATTCAGTGTAAAATAAAAGTATATGCTTCCAATGTCTCAGGGAAGAGATTGCTACTAGTTTTCTATTTAACATATTTTACCTGTAGTACAGTGCCATATATTTACAGAACTATATAAATCATCATAATCATAGTTTAAAATGTTTTCAAGTTAACTTACATCATTCGGAATTCAAACTATCCTTGTCTGTCTTGAATTGATTTTAAGAAACTGGTAACCAGTGCATGAACTCTTTTTGAGCATGCCCTGTAGACAACAAATTCCTAAATAGAAAAAGAGCAGACTACACTTTTAGTCCATCAATCAGCTCTCAAACATTATTTGAAAATTTAAATCAGTGGCATTTCCCCAATGAGAAAATATTTTTAAATCAATAAGCAATATTACAAATGTCTTGAAACAACAGTGCAACCCCACCAAGGAGAGGATTCTATTTTTAAAATGAATTCTCCCAACAATTCTGTTTAAGAGAAAAACCTATATTTTTCTTAAAGCAACTCTTTTTAATTTTTTCATTCTGCCCCACTGAAAAACCTGTTCTATGCCATTGAACAGGTTAAAAAGTTGATCACTATCTTCTCAAATACTACATTTATTGATTTCATATGTATGAAATAATGTATAATAGACTGAAAAGACCAATTACAGTATCATCTCATGACAATTTCTTATTGCTTGTTTTGCCTAGTTTAGCTGAAAATGTCCCAAGTAATAGTATTTCAGCACTCATCTTGAAAAAAAAATCAAATGAACAATTTATTCTAGTAAATCTCCCGATCAGGATGTTTTTCTTGATTCTCAGTGTACATTTTCTCTTCATTATTATCCTGTTATTCCTGTTGTTTCCTACAGTACCCTAAATAATCCCTCTCCTTCCACAGCATGCACATCATTCAGTTATTTATATGCTGTTATGCATCACTTTCCCTCTTCCACTACTTAGTCATTGCTCACCCAGCATATTTAGCATGTTTACATGTTTGGTTTGTAGTGCCTCTGTCTTAACACTCTTTAATTCTGGTTGCCCTGTTTGCAATAGGAATTTAATCTAGCTGTTAAATTGGGGCAAGGCCTAAAGCTTCATGTTATGTATCACAGGGAGTGCTAAGCATAATTATATTGAATGCAATTTAGCTGACTTGGATGCCAAAACTGCTAGAGATGGGACTGGTGATTAGACACCCCTGCAATGGGCGTATTAGGCTGAAAGGGACAGATGTGGACAGGGGCAGGCTCTGCTTTCCCTCACGCACAGCTGTTGGAACTAGAGGGGGGGGGAGATGAGCTATAAGACCCCGGGGCTTGAAATGGTTTCCATTGCAGGGGCTGCAGTTTGGGTCAATGGCTCTCAGCACCTGCACTGTACAAACTGTCCCCGCGCCTCTGCACTCCCTCTCCAGGGGGGCAGCCCCCCCAACACACGTGGAGCTGCCCCTGTTGGGAGGTGACACCAAGCACTGGCCTGTCCTGGCCCTGTCTCGCAGCCTGAGGGGAGGGCTGCTCACTCCCCCCCCCCTCCGTTTTTCATCTCGTCACGTCTCCCCAGGGACACTGGCCCGGGCCCACCCTGCCCTCGGGACGCGCGCGCCCTGTGTACGGGTGACAGACTGAGCTAGAACGCGGCGAGGCGCGCGCGCGCGCACGTGCGCGCCCCCGTGCTGCTCCGTGACCCATTTCAGTGAACAAAGGATTTTGCTGGAATCTCTCAGCGCTGTACCTAAAATGGCGGCCGGCGCGTTCATCTCGGGCACCATAGAGACGAGGCGGGGCGGCTAGAGTGGCTCCCGCGGGCGCTTTTCTCTCGCGCTTGACAAGGCCTGGCCCGGCCTCGCTGGTAGCGTGCGGGGGGCCGTGAGCGGCGCCATGGCGGGGGGGGGGGGGG